TTAATTTTTAATTTACTATTAAATAAAGAAACAAAAAAAAAAAAAAATTTAAACCAAATGTTATTAAATTTAAAATTTCAATAAATGTTATTAAATTTAAAATTTTATATATGAAAATATTTGACTGTATACTGTTAAAAAAATTAATTTTTTTATAAATATAAGAGTTTTATTTTTTGAAATTGAGCAATTGCTAATATCAAATTTTTATAAATTTCTAGTAATAATATTAATTTTACTTCCAGCGGGCTTCTAGTGATAACACTAACTTATACTATATAAAAACAACTAAATGTTTAAAAAAAAGATTTTTTCATTTTTTTTTTTAAAGTCCAGCTTGATCTAAATTTATCTTGTTTCAAAATCAGAAAAGTTGCTTCAAAAAAACCCGTCTTTGTATCTTTAACTTATAGCATTTCAGAAATTTCCTATACTATAAATTTGATGGTTTATTGAATAATACCCGGAGTACTATAGTTAGTGGCGTTTGAGACAAGTTTATTGACGTGAGAGATCGGGTTTATATTCTTGACTTGGTTTGTTAAAGTGTATGAGTTTATTAATTATATATAGATGTGAACTTTGAGTATAGATAGTAGGTATTTAGTGATTCGAGCTTATTCTAGTACGTAGTGAATACCGCTTTTTTCTTAATACGTACGTATATAATCTTCTATACGTCTGCAAATAGTATCGATATGAACTATTCAAAATCAATTTTTCAAGGCTGTTTTAATATGCATATATTGATATTTACTACTGTACTAAATTGATCAAATTGATCTTAACTTCCGAATTTTCCCGCTATCTCCTATTGATTATTGATTGTCTAATCTCACGACCCAAGAATCGACTGTGTTTAATTTTTATCGGCTAGTGCCAAATCGACCACCATGCACTCCTTTCACTGGTAATCCGTGTCCGAACCTTAATTCTAGCCGAAAAATTGGGTTTCGCAGACACGGAAAATCACACGAAATTCTTTTTTTCGTGACAGTTTTTTTGCTTCGCTAGTTCTGACAAATTGTACTGTATAATATGCTTTCAACTAAGAAACATCACCTTGAACATTCAGTGAAGCTGTCATATGAGATCTATTCTTGCTCCTCATATACAGCTCCTTATCACCCACGTAACATTATGGAAGATAAGCCTTCTGATCAGTCTTCTCGTTGGTCAAGTAAAAGTAACGATCAAATGCAATATGTACTTATTAAAATTGTCTCGATGGCCATTGTTCGTATCCTTTTTATTAAACAGCCCGTATAGAGAAATTTTTATTTTAAGCTTCAAGCGTGAAAATAAACATACTCGATTTGTTAAAATTTATTACTAGCTGTTATTTTATATAAATTCCTAAACAACTATTGTAGATAGCATTACATTTGGAAAATATCATAAAGGTAAATTCTGTCATAATAAGGTATTTTGATCAATATATTCATAACCTTTATGGCTTTTTATAAATATATATATATATATATATTTCAACATCATGTATAGAACACATATGTAATTTGAAGCAATTCAAGGTTTATGGAGGGCTGACATCAAACAATATGATTGAATTACTTCATAGCGGTAATTATTGGAATTTTTGTTCAATTATATTTATATAATCAATTATGAAAACTAGAAAATTTCGTATCTTTTTAGGGCTACGAAATAATTCTCGATCAGAAACTTTTCGGTTGAAGCATAGAACAAATCAAGTGGTATGTCGATATATCACAATTTATGTTTGGCTTTTTGTTTGTGAAAATACAGGATCACATAATAATCTATGCTTTATATTTTACATAGCTATTGCCATGCCAATATATTAAAATAGTTCCATTAGCTGCTTATGGTCCAGATTTTAATTTTAGTATATGGTATATTGAACTGAAAGGCGTTCAGAGTCCTGAAATTGTTCAACAGGTCTATCTTGATTACATTAAGGTAATTAATTGAATAATGTTCATAAAAATTTAATCAATTAAGACAAAATCGGCCAATTTATTACAGTTCCGTGAAAATGAAGCGATACGTCTTTGCCTAAAACATTTTCGCCAACGAAATTATTTGGATGCTTTTAATGCATTACAGTCAAAGACCAAGACGCCTCTTGAAGATCCTTTCATTACTGAGCTATATGAGCAGATAGTCTCAAACGGTGATTTTCAAATGGCTGAAGATACTATGATCAATGCTGCCGAAAAAGGACTTTTTGATGAATATATTCGTAATTGCCCATATAATTATTTTTGGAAAAAAATTGAAGCTACTGATGCTTGTGGGTATTAAAGACATAGTAGATATAGTAGATTATGGTAACTAAAATTGTGAAGCATTTATATAATTTTATATTCAAAATTACAATTTAGGTGGAGTCTCTCCATGTACACGAGGTGGACATCAAATGTGTATTGACGTTGAGGTAAGTACTTGTGTATAGATGTTTTTTTTTAATTATTTGAATAAACCAAATATGATTAAAGTAAAAAAAAACAAACCTTTATCAAGGCAGGTCAAATTTATTTATTAGGAGGTTGGGATGGTAATAATAACTTGGCTGATTTTTGGAGTTATGATATAAATCCAAAAAAATGGAATCTCATTAGTCATAATACCAGAGAGTAAGTTTACACTTTTTATATTTATTACTTTAAATATTATTATCGCACCTAATTTAAATACTAATTCAGACAAGGAGGTCCTGGTCCAAGATCAAATCACAAGATTTGCCTGGATCATATCATGAAGCGAATATACGTTTTTGGCCGATTTATTGGTCGTGGCTCTCGTGCTAATGCGAATTTTAATTCAGATTTCTATAGCTATGATATAATAAATAATCAATGGATCAAACTATGTGACAACACTGCGGTATTATTTAACACTTTTAAAATATAATTTAAATTCATTCAGAATGGCTTAATTGGACAGAGCTTTTTAAATTTGTTCTTTAGCTTGTTGGTGGGCCTTCGTTAATTTATGATCATCAAATGTGTATCGATTCGGAAGCCCAAATGATTTACGTATTTGGAGGACGCACTGTACATCCTGATACAGAACCTTTTACTTATAGTGGCTTGTATAGTTATAATATACGGTCTAACGAATGGAAGTTAATAAGGTCAGATGTTTTCTTATTTTTATTATTATTATTATTTAAATTATTTTTTTCTATAATTATTTATTGTAAAATGTTAATTATAGGTCTAACGATGAGTCAAATAGTGATTATGTTCCACTTAAATCACGTATTGGACATTCAATGTTATTGGATCAGAATGAAAAATTGTTATTCATAATAGGGGGTGATCGTGATAATACGTTTTTGAAGTTTGTATTATAGTATATTATTATAGCAAGTGAAAAATGTCACGGTGATAATTTTGACCTCTACAAATTTAATAGTGACTTTTTAATTTACGATATTAATGCTGGCTTGGTTCACGAGTTAATCGCCGATTACGCGACACAAGAGGATCATGATTCTGTTTTCACACAGCGTACAACTTTTGATATGGATACACAGGAATTTTACGTTCTTTCTGGTCTGAAAGATAAGAGAGACAAAAGATCTCAAACTATTAAAAATTCGTTTTGGGTATATGATCTACGACTAGATAAATGGACAAAGATATATCAAAGTGAAGTCTATGGTGCTCAATATTGGGAAAGTGATGAAACAATTGAGCCGCGGCCGAGATATGCGCATCAGATGGTGTATGACAACATTAACAAAGTTCAATATGTATTTGGTGGAAGAGCTGTTGAAACAGATGTACTTAAGCAACAAAGACTGGATGACTTTTGGGAATTACATTTAGTCAGGTATATATGATAATATAAACAATTGCTTTTATAATATCACATTACTTTACTGATGTTTATCAATTAAAGACCAAAACCTGAAGATTTATTACGGCGTATTCAATTCCAGATAAGAAAGCAAAAGTAACCAACCTATCCCTCATAGTCGTGTCTCATTTATTCTTTATGGTTTTACTTATCTATCATTTTTTTTAATCAGATTTAGAGAGATGTGTTATGAGGGCGATACAGTTAAAGCACTTAAATACCTTCAAGTTCAACTTAGTCAAGTCGTAGATCATTCAATTGAGGCCGAAAGTGCTGAATTTCGTGAATTGACTTCGTACCTGTTTCACAACATTGAAGGTAATAAATCTTTAATAAATACCATGGAATTTTGTAAAATAATTCTTATATACGATTCCTATTATTATAGATAAAACCCCCAGTTCTTTCAATTTACGTACAGAATTATTTGAGAATCTTTTAGAATTTTTTCCAGATACAATGAAACAGCCAAAAGACAATCTAATTGATTTAGTGAAAATCGAGTAGATTCGTATTGAGATTATTAATTAGAATTAAGATTAGTCGCCTATAGTGATATAGCTTAGTTATTGGTAATTAAGAATTATGAAAGGTAACTGTAGCTTCATTTCCAACCAATGCTAAATACTTCGGATTTGTAAATATGATAATTTCTTGTACATCAGGCATAATTGTATTTTTATTTGTAAAGTATAATTTTACACCTTGAATGAAACACATTACCACGTACAGTAAAATAAAGTATATATTGCAATTTTGTTCAAATTGCCCCTCGCATTTGCCAAGATTCTTTATGTTTTACAAAACTATTACTGTATTTCGTGGTTTACTTCATGAAATACCCATTGCTTTTTATTTCGCGCATAGGTAGTTCAAGAATATACTACATGTGTTGGTTTTTGAAATAAATATTTAAAAGTAAATAACTTAGTTTATTGATTTTAATAAATTATTACAATATATTAATTTAAAAATAACAAGCTTGTAAAAATAGTTAATAATAATATATACAGCATATATTTAATAGTTAATATACTGTATACAGTATATACAGTATATATATAAAATAAAAATAAATAAAGTATATATATATATAATATATATCAGGAACCTGTAAAAATTATTTGGATTATGCAAAAAATTTGTTTGGATAATCGCAAAATTTTGTATAAATTTGGATTATTGCTTCTATTGAAATATAACAAATTTAGTATTTTAAGAATTCGAGACTCAAATTATACTTATTATCTTGTAAAATATTATTATAAACTGAGAAACTACATGAAGAAATAGGTAACCAAATATAATCAAAAGCAATCGTGCTAGAAGTGGAAAATTTGGTTTAACTTTTTCTCAAAATGTATCTAATTTCTCATAATCAACATTATTAAGTTCATAATTGCTATTTTTGAATTAATTCATTTGTAGAATTAGCTAATTCTAAAATAGATCAAAAGCAGATTGAAAAATAGAAATAAATTAATTAATAAATCAAATTTTTAAAGAGCTAAATCAACATTTGATTCAAATTATTAGCCTTTTTACTATTACTAATACAGTAAAAACTTTTAACTAAACAATATATTTTTTAATAAAAGAAAAGATGAAATTGTATTCTTTTTAAAAAAAATTAATAGCAAAAATAAAATATAAGGCATATTAATAAATAAAAACAAGATGGGTTAGGGTTTTATAGCCTAGTGGTCTAGGCGTCTAACTCTCCACAGACAAGATCAATGGTTTGATTATAGCTGGTGGTAATTAATAATAATTAATTATCTCTGTAACCTACAAAAGCTTTCGAATACAGAACCCTGTAGCGGTAAGACCATGTGAAGTATATATTTGGCTGATAAAGAATTCTTGGAAAGAGTCTCGAGCTGTAGAGATGATGAGCACTGTGTGTAATATAGGTCACAAAAGGTAATACTGCAGAAGGCTATGTGTATGAATCCACGATTAGCAAGATAGTATCAACAACTCTAAGGTGGCATTGGGATTTTGATTAAAAGGACAGCTATATGCGATATATTAAAAATGGTAAGAGAAGTGGCAAATACAGTAAGAGGCTGTAGTAAGAGGATGGCTTTACCAAATAAAAGATCACCTCTGGCATATAGAAACAATAAAAACTGGTTAAGGAAGTCTGGAACGTATGGCAAGCATTTTAGTGGTATGAAAAGAAATTTAGCTAGTGGATAATAGTCGTACAACTAGCATAGGAGTTATATAACAAAGCATAACAGGAGTACTGGGTCCCAGAGTACTGAATTGTAGCAGTACTTAAAAGAGGTTCTTAACTCCCGTTCTAAGGTTCTAGGCTCCTGTAACACTATCATTAGGAAAATAAATATAGTGAAGATCTGCGCAGATCTGCAACCCTAAAGATTTTTAACAAATTTCGTGATATCTCATGATTTATTAGTCAGAATTTAACGAATCTGGTACCATTCGAACCGTCTTGATGAGATAGATCAAATGGTACTAAATTCGTTAAATTTCGATCACTGAATCACGAAATAACCGCATTTAAGTAAAATTTGTAGCCATCTCACGATCTTATTAACCAATAGTTCAAATTTAATGATTTTGGTACCATTCGATTCCTCTTGATGAGACAGTTCGAATGGTACCAAAAATGTTAAAATTAGATCACTAGTTCGTGAGATATTTACATAATACGTTTTGTAGCACAGTTTTGCGCAGATTTGTGAATTTTTTGTGCAGATCTGCGCAAAACTGCGCCATGAAACGTATTCTGCGAATATCTCGCAAACTAGTAATCTGATTTTAATGTTTTTGGTACCATTTGAACCGTCTCATCGAGAGGAATCAAATGATACCAAAATCATTAAATTTAGACCACTGGTTAACAAGATCATAAGATGGCTGCAAATTTTACTTAAATGTGATTATCTCGTGATCTAGTAATCAAAATTTAATAAATTTAGTACCATTTGATCCATTTTATTGAGACGGTTCGAATGGTACTGAATTCGTTAAATTCTGATCGATATATTATGAGGTATTGCGAAATTTGTTAAAAATCTCCAGGGTCACAGATTTGCGCAGATCTGTACCTTATTTATTTTCCCAATGATAAGTGATAGTAGTACTATAAACAAGATGGTAGCCTGAATTGGCAGTGTAGAACGTGAACGCCCATGAAGTACATGTAGAGAACTGCAACACCACAGGGAGGAACCCGGGATGTCTATAATATACTTACAAATTGTCTTCTAGAAACACCAAACTAAAAGTACCAATAACACCCACTTCTCGAACACCAATTTGAAAGTAATACAAGAAGCGGTTTGGGAGTAATGCTATATATAGGAAAGATGAAAGTAATTGGTAGAATTTGTATAGTAGTATATATGTGAGATATATATGAATAAAATATAGGTAGTAGAACCTGGGCTAGTGAATTGGGAATTGGTGGTTGGATGGTCTAACTACGGAGACCCAAGAAGGCTGAATACACAAGTATAGTTGCATATAGGTCCAATTAGAAACTGAGTGTGGTCACACTTTAATTAATAAGATAGTGTAATCTACAGATAGAACAAAAACATATCCCTTAATATGTAGACCAACGCAGGCAAATTTGCCTGCGTTTTTGCACTTTTTTAGCTCTGATTTACT